ACCAAAGTAGAATACACATAATGCGAAAGAATCTTCAAACTTGATACTGTTTTTTAATTTGGTCGAGCATTAGAACGAGAGGAGACTTCCTGAAACAGAACTTTTTGAAAATTTGTTATATACTTCCGGACACATAATTCGAGCAACCACGCGTTTTCAGTATTAAGTGCCCTAAGCTTAAACAATGTTTGATTGATCAAAAACTATTAAGCAATTTTGAAACTAGTATACTAAACGTCTTTTCCATAAGTCCTTGTTGGGAATTTGGATTTGCAAAACCGGGGAAACGTTTTACTTCGATGATAAAACTATTTTTGTATTCTAGCCCTTTACGATAAAAATGCGAGGTAACTCGAATTATGCGTCCGGGAGTATATTATCAAGAACAGAGATAGTAGATTATTTTCAGTTCAAGTCATTTATTAAACATATAAAATAAAGTAATAGCCTATTTGTGAGAATGTTTGCTGCATATTTAAGAGGTTCTGAGTTGAATTCTGGTTAAGGAGACTGCTCTTCTTAATCTTTTTAAATCGTGAGCAGTTTATTAAGAGTTAATGAATTGTGATAAAATCTGGGCCCTTGATGAGGTTCACTTTCCCAAACTCGCTTTCAGAGTGCTCAAATGCTCTCCTAAGAGAAGTCTCTTGCTCAGCAATATATAGTCCAACTTTTTTATAATTCCAGGTGACGGAACGAACAAATCCCGTAGGAAGCGACACGCCCGTCCATAACACCACCACCACACTCCACTACGTCAAACTCTCTGAGACATAAAGGTGCGTATAGATCTGGCGAATATGCTGTTATATACTTGTTAATGTATGTGGCTCGCGAACAGATCGCACAACGTATGCAGCTCGCGAGACTTCCGCAAACAGGCGTATTTGCGGCGTATTCGCCAGATCTGTACGCACCCTTAGTTGACAAGCCCTATGTGCCTGTAATTTCACTATCAGCCTTACCCTTCAAAACCGAAACGCAGTAATGCCCACATTCCTGCTTAAATTGTTAGTTTTTTTATGGTACCAAGTAACAGGACGTAACAGGACCAAGTCGCGCGCCTTGTATTAAGCGACACGCCTGTCCATAGCAATTGCAGTGCTGAGGGACACTTCCACCGCGCTCTTCACCCTGAGACATAAGTTGACAAGTCTTTCGTGCTTGTAAGTTCACCAGCACCCTTACTCTTCCAAACCGGAACACAGTAATGCTCACATTCCAGCTTGGCGGTAAAAATAGGATGGCAGTACTTTTCTGTACGAATTTATTCATAAGGAGTTATACTTGTACTGTTTTAGCAGTAGACTGTAATAGACTGGTGATGATGATATTAATGAACGTTTATTTATATGGCATTAACAAGGGTTACACTTAGCTTAATAAATTAAAGTAACGGTTTAGAGGTTGTAAATTTCACCGACGACCGGGCTCAAAGGCATCATGCCCAAGAGACGTATATGTTACCTTCCGTACCGTGTAATGTTTGAAAATTAATTATCTCGCTTCTTTAGAATACCTTTTTATGAAAATTAGTGAAGAATTAAACTATAATTTTACCGTTTTCATTGAAAAAAAAAAAAACTGATTCACAAGTTTGCTTATCGGCCACCACGAGAGCGCGCCCTCTCATATAAAAAAGAATTTTCAAAATCGGTCCATAATTGACGGAGAAATCGAAAAACATACATACAGCCGAACGTATAACCTCCTCTTTTTTTTTGAAGTCGGTTAGTAACGTGAACTTGTATAAGATCAATCAGTTAGGAGCATTTACAGTGATACCATTGCAAACGATAATGAATTGCAAAACGACTATCATTTCAATTTTCTCACTCAAAAACATCGGCAAACTAACCGTTCCGCTAACCGTAACACACAACCGTAAAAGCGGTAACCGCATCACGTTCCATTGGAATGAATGTTTTGAGGTTTGCTCTAAACACGCAGGGAAAATTTAACGTTCTGTCCCGCTCCTGATCAAAAGCCCGAACTCATCATCAACCCATTCATATGTCCCACTGCTAAGAAGGGGTCTCCTCTCAGGCGAGGGTATGAGCAATAGTCTTGACTTCACACGTTTTTCGAGGGTTGTGAAACTTCTTCGACGTGCAGGTTTCATTACGATATTTTCGTTCACCTAAAAGCTAATGGTAAATTTCAAATTTAATTTAGCACATAAATTTCGAGAAACTCAGATGTGCGATCCGGGCTCGAACCCACGGCATCTGCTTAAGAGGCTCGAATGTAAACTTCACAGTTTAGCCCACACCGGCCAAAGTTGCCTGTCTGCCGCTATTCTACAGAATATATTTTGGTGAGTGCCCATAGGCTCCATCAGCTCATCCCGCCCGCCCATTACCATTGGACATCCAGACGTATGGCGCGATATCATCAATACTTGATCTATATTCCTTTCGGGCATACAAAGCACTTTCCGTCGTCTTTTATTATGAGCACAACCCGGGAATAGAATTTCCTGCCTGCGACTGTGTTTCCGAGCACTTACACCCGAGTACCGTTAAGGTGTTTTAAGAAATTTTATAGAATTTATAGAAATTAGTAGCAATAGAGCTGGTCGTGAAAGAGTTTGTCCAGGGAAGTACTGCCACCTTACCTATTTCTGCCGCCAAGCAGTAATGTGAGCATTGCTGTGTTCCGGTTTTGAAGGGTTATTGGTGCTGGTGAAATCAGGCACATGGGACTTGTCAACTTATGTCTCAGGGTGACGGGCATAGTGGCAGTGCCTCTCAGATCTTTATATTTAAAGCCCTGAGTGGCACTGTAACTGTCACGGACAGGCGTGGCGCTTACCACCAGGGGCACAAATTATTCATCCCGTCACTTGGTAGTATAAAAAAATCAGAGTCATTTAGGCGAGCTCGATCCATCGTAGATCCTATCTTTGCTCCAGATGTAGGTAGTGGCCAAGAACAAGTCCATTTGATTAAAAAAAAAGGTGGTGACAGGTAAAACCATTAGACTGCCACGGCAGGCCAGCTCTACTTAGCAAAAAAATAAAATTTTCCACCGTTTGTATATGAGATTTTCGTAAAGATAAATATACAAGCGCTTGAGAAAAATTACCACACTTTTGGATTCTCGTGAAATATATCTCTCTGCCGCGTCGCGGGAATTGCATCCCACAAGTTTTATTATTTTAAGACTATCCGAGTCTAGCCTGCATCTAGGTCAGCTGCACGTCAGACGCAGTATCAAATATAGAAACCTATTCCAAGAGTATGTCTTAATTCAGGTACCTTGCTATAGTTGTCTTGAAGAGGCACTATTGAAGCTCATTTTTGTATGCTTTTTTTAGTAATTTTGTTAGTAGCACTAGAGCTCCTTGTTCGAAAGAGTTCGTCCAGGGAAGAACTCTGCCCTTTGGAAGAACACAGGAAGTTTGGCGAAATTGAGTTGAAGATTCCAGGTAAAGAACAATCAGAGTCACTTGAGGAGAACTTTAGCAAAAAGAATTTTTACTTTGGAAACCTATTCAATAAAATGCTACCTGAAATAAAATCAATGTTGACAGAATGTGTAAATAATAAAAAAACCTTTATAAATCTTATTTAACTTAAATTTGTATTGAATTGATATTCAATAATTTTTTTGAAATTACTCAACTACTTTGTTCTAATTATTAACACAAAGATCGAACAAATTAGAAAAAAATCCATCAATCCGTCCGCATTCGAACCGACATCTTCTGGCATACCGTGCCAGACACTATACCAACTAAACCACGGATCGAATCAGAGAACTCACCAATTTGTATATGTGCTCGTTTGTCGGATCATTGTATTTTTTTCAACGACTTTTAAGCCGTAGCGCCATCTATGAGAAATCTTATTCAACTTTTCTACTACTTACTCTCAAACATTATAGGTCTAAAACTAAAAATTAATTTTTCAGGATATTGAACCTCCTTGCTATTATAGACATAATCAGTTTTAACTAAAATTAGATCTCTTAGGTTTTCGCGATTCACAGTCAACCGTGACCATGGGACCTGTAAAGGGCCCGAAATGTCGGTTTGTTTGAAAAAACAAATATACGCGATTTAAATCCGGAAAAATAGTTTCATTTCCTAAAATTAGATCACTTAAATTTATGCATTCGGGTTCAAGTCCCGAATCGACAGTTGGGAGTTGACATATTTCGACCCCCATAAATATGTTTTCTTAAAATCAGTATCTGAATTAGTGTGGTACGTACGATGGTATTCATGCTCTATCTATTTTTGTCGACAAAGTAGCATTTCTATATTCTGAATGAAAGAGTAAGATGAGTTAGTGCAATAAAGATGGCTGCATTTTCACCAGAAATGAGCGACGTAACTAGGCGGTGCGATGATGCGTAGCAAAGCTAGGAAACGGTGTGTGGCTGAGCAGTGTGAGGATGAGTTGAGGACTTTTTTCAGCTGTGTGGGAGTGGAGTACAGTATGATGGGGTGAGTGGAGGTGACGCATAACGGCGAACTCGGTCGCGTACCTCGCACACATTACTCACACACATCTCTCGCTTTATTATATACGCACAAATACTTAGCTCCGTAAAACGTCATAAAAAATTTAATATGAAACTGGAAAATACTTGGTCCAAAAATGTTTTTATACGTTGCAAGAATTTTTCAATATCAGAGACTAGAAATAATATTAACATGACTAAGTATTATCTACGCTGTTTAATAATTATTATAAGAATGCATATTAATTTACTTTTGATACTTTATATTTTTATTATTACTTTTTTACTTGAATATTTGTTTACATTTTATATTATTAAGAACGATATAAATAATAAATATCAAACGAAGGGTTACGTGGCTGTACTTTATATTATTTTAAGAACATTTATATCACCCATGTGATACAATGCCTGAATGAATATGAATAGGTTCTTAACAAGATAACGGTAATTAGGTTTTCGTTCAGATAGAACATCTCACTAGTTTCCAGGTTAAACCTATAAGACATCCTCACGACAAATAAACTTACCAAGTTGAACCAGCTCCAATCTTCTATCTGTGACAAAGTGCCATGGAAACGCTTTGCAGAAACTGGCAACTCCAATTCTTAAATCCGTCACATTGCTTGAAGAGGCAACTGACACAGCCTCACTGAAAGCCTCGCAGTTTTCTTCTTTTGATTTTTGACATTGGGTTGCATTTATTTCATACCTGTAATAAGAGAAACTATTAGAACTATATCCTTGCCACGTTATATCCTTGATTAACATCATCCCCAAACATGTTCATTTAAAAATTCATATGATGTAATAATTACATGTCATTCTTTTCCATAACTATAAAACTAGTAATTGAAGGTTTCTTCCACAACATGCCATTCTTTGTGTTTTGGATTTATGACCAAATTTCTAGGTTCGTGACAAATAGAACTTCCTTATCCTTATTACCTCCCATACAATTAAGCAAATTGATTTTATGTCAAGGGCTTTGGTACATTCGTTAAACGGTCAAGTGTTCACAGACTGTGTACATACCTAACCAAATAAGGTAATTTTAACTTAAGGTAAACGAGGTAACCTTTCGTTTCTCTTCCGTCTTGTGTGCATCAAGTAGAATTACTTTTCTGTTACTTACTTACTGTAACTGGGTATGTATTTGGGCATCACTATGCACCACGTCGCGTCTCTGACGAAAAATATTACATGGCGACTTGCCAAATTTTTGTACCCTTACCATCGTTAATCTTATGTCAACAAAACGCAGTACGCTCACTGTCATCCTTGAACAATTCATTTTTCGACAGTCGAGTCGCTACATCATTTGTAACTAGTACAACACAGAAAGTAGCAAATAATATTGTTCTTTATCTAATCTATTATTTATAATTACATAAGGTGGGACACATTACGCTCCCTTTTGTTAACTTTCTAAAAAAATAACGGTGTAATGAATATATAATTTTTTTACAAACTTATAGCCCCGCACTAGAAGCTCTAGAAACCCTGTATCGCGAGTGCATGAACACACGCATAGATACTACAAATTACACTCAAACACACGAGAGAAATAAATGTAGGCCAATCAAATATCCCTCTCGGCCCGGGAATCAAACCCGAACCCAGTCCAGCATGGTAACTGTTCAGCACACACGGAAGCAGTTAAAACTACTATCATGATGTTAGGGTCGTATTCCAGAACTCTACTTAATGCTCAACTCAGGACTTGAGTACGCTGTCAAACACTGGAAATACGACCCTAATGGCAAGGACTTGAGTATGATTTCCAGTGCTTTAAATCATACTCAAGTCATGACTTGAGCACTGAGTAGAGTTCTAGAATACGATCATTACATTATTTTTTGTGAAATTATTCCATATAAAGATCGAACACTAAGAAAAATTCGCACACAAAGAAAAAGCGACATCTCTTGTTAACCTCTGGTAGCTGGTTGGGTGAAGACAAAACGTTCATAGATTTCTTACAGATGGCGCTACGGCATAAAGTTCGTTAAAATCAAAAATATAGATCTGTAACAAACGCATAGAAAAATTCGTAAGGTCTACTGACTGGACCTGTAGCTCAGTTGGTAGAACGGTTGCCTTGTTATGGCACAGACGCATGTTCAAGTCATGTCAGATCGAAGGTATTTTCTTTGTGTTCGATCTTTATATTAAATTAACAGTTGATTGAGAAATTTACTTTTAGTCGATCAATATTTAATATTGATTTGAACGTCATCCACATTTAACATGAAACAGATTTCTTTAATATCGAGTTCTTAGGTTTTCGCGATTGTTACACATAGGAAATGAAACTATTTTTCGGGATTTAAATCGCGTATATTTGTTTTTTCAAACAAACCGACGCGACGTTTCGGGCCCTTTACAGGTCCCATGGTCACGGTTGTCTGAGGTGGTACAGTCTTCAACCAGTTATGTCTAATATTGATGCAAACCACCCTATTTTTTTTCACTATAGTTACAATAGTTATTAATTTAATACCTTATTTTTAATTTTACAAAGAAAACATTCCAATTTACGCTACACTCAGTTTTACAAATTATTTTATTGAATGAATTTTTATTAAGTCCAATTAATTATTAATATAAATTAGAATAAACTAAAACATATTAATTAGTACTGCAGTCTTATATCTGTTTGGGATTGTCTGTTTGGATAAAACAAATATACGCGATTTAAATCCGGAAAAATAGTTTCATTTCCTAGATTTCTTTAATATTCAATATTTTGAAGATTACGATGTAACCTTTTTTATCAGACTACTGTGAAGCCAAAAGAAAAGTAGTTTTTGAGGCATATGAAAGGCTTCAACCAACAAAATTGAATTAGATGTTCATAGACTTTTGTAATACCCGACAAGTACATACATGCCAAAATAAATCCAATATTGTAGATGCTAAAACCCAAGATCATGTAAAAGCTTGTCGGGTATTGTATTTCTTTTTGTTCTTTATTTTCTCTTACCTAAATCTTCTAGGGTCATTAGTATAGCTCATCAGTCTTATATTCGCCCTTGTGTCATACAATTTGTTTGCAATAGCTCTTAAGCTGCCAACGAGCATGTATGCTACAGGTTCACTTTCTGTTGTCAAGTGTAGTTCAATTTTGCCTTCTTGTGACGTTGAGCATACGAACGCCGCTTCGTATTCCACTGTTTCATCTTTCTGTGCGTCGTCCTGAAAGAAATATTCACTTAAAACAATGTTTTAGAGTTTTCTAACTCATTTCATAGTATCAGCAGCCATAACATTTGGTGATCATCTAATGTGCTTCTCGGTACCTTCATTGACAATGCGTCTTAAGATGTTGTTACATTATTCATGTCGTTAGTAATTTTTCATTTACACTAGTTAATTTCTATCATTGACTTATTAACCTAATGGATTCCAATATGAATTACAGAAAATATATTATGTAAGTATCAAATGAATTATTTAAGTACTCTACATAAGAGCACACACTACAAGAACACAACGTACTATATTACAGAAAGATTTACGTAATTTATTTTAGTTTATATACGCGACATAATGTCCGACTCAGTCTTAGGGTCCACTAAAAACCAGCGTCACAGCCTTTTCTCGGCTGTGACTTTCGATGAGTGGATCCGTTTGCATACGCCACATGACATTTATTCAAATTGTGTTGATTATTTAAAATTTGACGTATTTGTTTCGTTGTTTTTTTTTGAACCTTTCTTTCTGTGTATCTCTTTTTGTGTTGTAGCGTTATAAATGATTTCTGTTCTATTCTATTCAAATACGTATTTACAATTACACGGCTTACCTGATCATGCAATACATCATGAACACTGTCCAGTGTAGTCAAAAATTCAGTCAAATTTGTTCCTAAACACTTGTACGCTCTCTCTAACCGACTATTGTGCGAGAGTGCGGTTAAAATTAAATATTCCCCTAATTTCGCCATAAAATCTTCGGTGCTTAAACCTGAAAGAAATATTAACTTTAAGAATCCTGTAATCGTTAGCTATTTAACTAAACTGTGCATTGTATTCCTTTTAATTCAAAAGTTGCTTTTCAAAAGTTTTGTGTAGTTATAAAGGAATGCTTTTTCTATTATACAAACGAATACTTTTCTTTATCATGGAACGTAGCTGTTTTTTATCTGGAATGTTAAAAGTTCTGATGTTAACGTTGATTTTAAGGCGGAATGACTTCATCCTATTGTCTTGCGAAAGTTTTACATGGATGCGTCAATTTCCTTCTTAAGTATTAATGTAATTAGATCAATCCGTAGTGATTCATATAAAAAAATTGCATTTCTTTGGTTTCCGAATGAGTTTCGAATTACAAAATCCGTAGACGAAAGAAAAACCCACGACGTAGGACATCGGACAACAAAGCTGAAATAGAATATGGAGGTATGGTGACAACAGATGGAGTAGTACAGTGGCTACAGAAATGTAGGGCATCCTGTAACGAGTCGGGCAGCTGTCATTGTCAAAGTCAAAGTAAGACTAGCGCAGGATTGTGGTCGATGGCACAAACAGTGGGTGAAATCGGGCGGTCGATGACGATGATTAATTTGGTTTATTATGTTACCTATTTTGTAAATTTATTTGGTGTGTAATTGCGTAAATTTGTGTAAATGAAATCCTAACATGAAAGTTTAGTTGAAAACACTAAAGTTTAAGCACATTGTGCAAATGATTTTGGGATGCACGAAAGGAGCCTCCTGTTTCCTGTACGTCTGGGACACCCTGGACAACTATCGGCGAATACCTTACGCTGGTTGGCAAATCCTTTTGCCATAATGGCAAGCATTTCAATATATGCCATTAATACAATAAGAAGAAAAAAGAATGATTTTATACGAAACCAGAACCAAGGCGTTCCACCGAAAGTAAAGATACCGAACTGCCGCCACTGGCCGATCCGTACCTAAGGCGCGGACTGGACACACTACAAACTGAGAAGACACGAATCCGTAAAAATACAGTACACAAATATGATGCTTCAAATGTATTTCAGATTGACGCAACCCACTTTTAACGGCCAATATGAACGTGGTTTGAGTGGCAATGTCAGGAAGCCACATTTTATAATCTAATTATACTTACTATCAGTCGCTCGAACAGCGTCGTAAATTTCTTGTAAATAGGCATAATTTCTACATGATCTAACGTCGTCAGGTAATCTCCGCCTGTGAACAAAACATTTTAATATTAATCTACATATAAATGTGCCGTTTAACAATACCAACTTACCTTAGAATTTCCCTGGTTTAACAATGTTAAACTAGGGAATTTCTAAGACTGAGTATCTCTGCCCAAAACATATATACCAAGCAATTCAACTTCCCACGACCCTTATCAATCACCTTGGTTATACCGACTGAATCATGGAAGATGCATTACGTTTTCTTAAGTTCTGCACCTGCACATTTCTGAACTAAGTCACGAAAAAAACTCTCACTGGAAATGTTAGTGTAAACTTATATATTTGTAACAATGAGGCTCAGTTAAACCTTTTTTAAACTTCCTTTATTTACTAGATAAAATGTATACGGTATACGGTGTTATAAAGGTTTCTTTCTTTATTTATTTAGACACAATAGCAAACCATATACAATCTCTCTCTCTCATCTTAGCGTTGTCCCGGTTGCGTCCTCAGCAGGGTTGCTGCGGAGCCCGGGGTCCGCAAACCATATACAATACTTAATATTAATTTAATACTAGAACACTCTTTAGCTTAGAACAGATGACAATTGTGCAAAACATCGAAATGACACAGATTTAGTTAAATATTCTATTTAAAAATGAAAACACACGTTTATAAAATTAAAAGAAAAAAAAGAGAAGTTTAAGCAAAACATAAATGAAAAATGTACAAAAAATAAGCAAAATTAACGCATCTTGGACCTGGTTTTGAGACTTCATACATGCTATAAATGATTTTAAAGATTGCCGGAATATATCCACTCAGTGTTAACTTTATTATAATTCCTGCAGATACGAAACAACGGATCATTGTACGACACGTTGTATATAAAAAACAAAAGTGGCACATAAAAAAGTTTTTGCGTGCGGTATCTTCCAATCATAATTCCAACCTGATCTAAGTAAGGTTATTTGTGTTAGAAGCATAGGTCTTCTAAACTTATATTGAAATGAAATAATAACTGAAAATATGCAATAGAAAATAAAACTGAAATCAGTGCGCGCGCGCGAGTTTTTATGTGTGCAATCTCCAATCTCCCAAGTTTTAGACTCGCTAGAACCTTTTTTATTGCAAACTCATATGCAAACATTGTACAAGAATAATCTAAATCCAATGACGTACGAAGTAATGCGACAACCAAATGGTGTCAACAAAGTGGTTGCAGAAACGTTTTACATATTGCAACGAGATGGATAGACGACATTCTCAAAGTCGTGAGCCATAGATGGTTGTAAATAGCTCAAGGTTGTAGTGGATGTCACAAACTAAGGGACGCAAGAATAAATAAAAATAAGTTTACATAAATACACGTAAACCAGCACCTGTTTGGAAAGTTCGTATCCTAAGCCGGAATTGTAGTCCAAAATCTCTTCATGTGGGACCTAGAGAGCGTTACGCTAAGCCATCATCGAATCGTCAAACATGAATGTTATTTTTTAAACGACTTCAAAAAAGGAGGAAATTCTGAATTCGAATGTTTTTTTGTATGTATGTTACGTGATAATTCCCGGTTTGTGAACCGATTTTGATGATTCTTTTTTGTTAGAAAGAGGATACCTCAGAAGTGGTACCATTTAATATGAACAAAATATTCCAACTCTAAGGGTGGAAAACTAGGGGATGAATGACTTTTGAGGTCGGTTTTTTGTAGTTGTCTTATGGTGGCTCTCCACGACCCGTGATTGCATGGCGTGTCGCGTCACCGCTTTACGCTTGTATAGGATCGCACTTGAGTGTTTGTCGAGAGCTTAGAGGGTCTAGATCGTGCGCCTGATGGTAAGCGACACGACTATCCGTAACAGTTGCAGTGCCATTCAGAGGTATAAATCGCAAAGCTCTTAGGGGCACTACCATTGCGCCCGTCACCCTGAGACATTAGTTGACAAGTCCCATGTGCCTGTAATTTCATTAGCATCCTTACTCTTCTAAACCGGAATGCAGTTATGTTCACATTACTGTTTGGCGGCAGAAATAGGTAAAGTGGCAGTACTTCTCTGGACGAACTCTTTTACAGCTCTACTGCTACTAAACAGTTAAAAAAGTAATACTCGAAGTGAAAGTCAAATTATAAGACGCTTTTTATTTGGTAGAATATTACTTGTTTGACAGGAATTGTTTCGGACGGACGTCAAACGTAGAACGCGAGTACTGGAGGCATACCACAACCTCATAAAACAATATTACTTTAAACTTACATTGAGTTTTCGTACCATAATGCGCTTAAAGTAAGCTTATTTGTAATGTTGAAACTATGATGTTTTATGTTTTGGCAGCTTTGTGACTATTCATTTACTCAGGTCGTACTATGGCGCGACTTTAACATTAACGTAATATTCTTCTTATGTCAAATTTAGTACTCTTAAAATATTATTTTCAATTTTACTGTCTTAATATTGGATTGTAATGATTAAAAGTTAAGTTAAACTTATTTATTTACATATATATCTTCAATATTTTGTTTATTTTTTATTTAATAGCACATAGGAAATAATTTATCGTAAAATAAAAATACGCTATGTTTATTTCGTAAAATTATGACAGCGCCATCTATATGCTCCTTGAGGAAACTAACAGTGGACACTAGACTATGATTCCGAATTCACAACGTGACTATCAAGACTCAGCTTGTTTTATTTATTTGTCTTCATGAAAATGCGGAATAATAATTGAAGGCAACGTAATTGTAATAGATTTCATTATTACATACTTTTCTTTTTTTGGCAGTTAAAATTCTCTGAATGTAAATAATATTAACTACTTTAACATTATACTACGATAACACGATTCGCAACATAAAAAAAGAAAGAGATGGCATTATACAGTTCATATAGCGTCATTACTTTCCTACTTTTAGTAAGGAATAGACAATATTCGGAAATCATTCGTTACTTCAGTCACTTTAGAAATAATACATTACTTGGTTGATAGGTTTCTCATGGTACGAAAATGAGTAATATTACAAGCTTAATTTATGCTTACATTGAAATAAGATTGTTTTTGGAAAGGTTACGGTAGGCCCCGACCTCATTTGAGTTATTTCTGGAGCCGCTTCTGTATTACAGTGGATACAACTTAGCTCAATCTATGCAAATAACGTTTTACTAAACGATTTATTCAAACTAAAAACTTTTAAGCAATAGATAATAATACACTACATATATGAGAGTTTAAGCGAAATGCGCTTATTTAAAAACGTACAAAGTTAAAACGTTTAAAATTGTTTAAAATCATTGTTCAATGATTCACGTACTTAAAAATAAGTAGTGCTGTCCTATTGTGCTTTGTCTTTGTTGTTTTGTGTACATGTACTAACATTAGATATAAGTGATTTTGTAACTAACACCTTGGCTCCATGGTACCTAAATAAATGAATTTATTATTATTATTAATTTACGCAGTTTCAGATGCGTTGGCGCGAGCTCACGCGGACCGACAGAAGCCGGCTTTAGTATACTATTTTACTTGTTTATATACATATCCGTGCTACTGCCACATTTTGCAACTTTAAATCCAAAATTATGATGGTCATATCATATTTTATTCACTAGAAACAAATCCCTGGATACATTATATACCATCCAAATTAGAATGCCTAGGTAATTAAAAATAATCCAACTGGCTATGAAAGTTAATTAACAATTAACAAAGCGCAAGTAATTAGTTTTATAAAGTACTCACGATTCTATCCACTGTTAATGTCTTCTAAAATGGTTACTCAGTAACAATTACAGTTTCATTATGTTTTTAGGAATTTTCATTTCATTTCATTTTACAACAATTTTAATATATTTTCATGGACCCTACGAATTCTTTAGGGATGTATCCATTTTTAGCCGATGTCAAGCTGATATAAGAAGCCTAGACTTAAGGTATTTCCTCTGGAGGTGAAATCTGGTCGTAGTAAAATCTCGAATTCGACATAAACATTCTCGACTTTACAAAAACTCCATGACTATAATATCAACTAAAGAGTGCGTACACCTCTACACGCAAGCACGCACGCACGCACGTACGCACGCACGCACGCACGCACCTTTAGTAATAGTAAATTACTGCGTTCCGGTTTCGAAATGTAATGGAGTTGGTGAAATTACAGGCACATGGGACTTGTCAACTTTATGTCTCGGGGTGTCGGGCGCAGTGGCAGTGCCGACCAGATCTTCGTGATTTAAATACTAAGTGGTACTGCAACTATTAGGGACAAGTGTGTCGCTTACCATCAGGCGCACGACTTGATCGTCACGTCACATAGTTTTTATAAAAAAGAAAAACCTACGCACATACACACTCCTCGAATTGTGATAAAATTTGTCCCGTCTCGTATCAAAGAAATATACATCAACCAAGTTATCGCCTATTAACATTAAGCTATTACACTCTGACTGGAGTAACTATTTATGCCCAATTTAATACTTACAAGCAGTTGTATTTGTCGTAACGCTCGGCTTGGTTCCTTGTTAACGCCATCACTGCCGCGTGGAGACATTCGTTCTGAAACAAACAAAAGTGGGAAATAAGATTTGGGGCACTGTGGCAAAAAGATATGTCACATATATATATTCACGTGAGAACAAGACGAAAAGGTGTGCGACTAATATTTTAAAATGGAATGCTGGAAAAGTTACAAGATACAAGACAATCGCAAATATGTTTAATAATATATGGTATTACCATTACCATTATGGTATTACCATATATTATGGTAGTACCATAATACCATATGGTACTGGAAGAAAACCACTGTTTGACTTCTCCCGGTCTACAGTATTTATGCTGAGTCAGGGCCATTTCGACACAAACTGTAGTCATAGGTACATGAAAATGTTATCAGTTCTTATAGTATTTGTTTGTTTTTCTCACAGTATTTGTTTTTCTCGCAGTATGTGTTTTATATAAATGTGTATAAAATTAATAATGAATGTTCTGCGTGCTTTTATGTTATACTCTGTGAAGTGATTGCAAATGTTATGTTTCTGTTTGTATTTGTGCTGAATAAACGTGTTATCTATCTATCTATCTATCTACCTATCTATCTGTCTATCTATCTATCTATCTAATAGATCGACCGCATTCGCCCGAAATAGGTTTCGGTCAGGTTCTTTGAATATACACGACTTTGATAACAAAGAGACCATCTACGCCACTCAGTAAAGACGGGAATTTTATGAAAGGGGAATTTTAAATATTATCCGAAAGTTTGCAAAAGATTGAGGTGGTTTTTTAATTTACACTTTTTTATTTATTTATACAAAGTTACACCGTCAACTTAACACAAAATAATCTTATATGATTAAAAATTATACACATAGGTTCACCACATAAGGTGCCAAATCACTACAGGTGTATAAATTTAGTTGCAACTGTGATTGACCCAATATATTTTAGATAGAATTTTGACACAAAATCTTTTGGGTATGGCCCACCGTGTACCATAAGCAGAAATGCAAGCGATGGAATCCCAAATGACGTGTCGTTTGATTGGGTGCAAAATCTGGTTGTTTGTAGGGTTTTTATGCCGTAAAAAAGCCCGTTACGTAACTGGTTGAGTTACAGCCTGCATTTGAAGGCTATAGACCAGTTTGGCACAATTGTTATCATTATTACCTAACGACCTAATTGACGCCTAATGAAAATTCCGTTAAAGTTGTGAGAATTTGAAATTGAAACGGTTGTAACAGTGGTGTCTACGCTACTTAATCCAGGGATAGCTCAATGAAACAACATGTGTTTACTTCACGTACACGTGCGATACGTCCGCTCACACCACTCACGACACTAGTGTCGTAACGGCGGGAACGGCGGGCCGCAGTGTACTTTATATTATCTATTGTCTATGGTACATTATGTTCGTACACTACAGTAACCTATATGATCATAGTAAAACACGATACGATATCTACTACTTTCAGATGCGGGCGGCTAGGAATTCTTTAACGGCTCCCTCAGGAATAGAACTGGGGTATTTTCAAAGCAGGATTTAATAGACATTTCTAGGCAAGTATCTTTGACAACATATTCGTAGTAATCTAATAATGAGATTGTGGTTAAATAGTTGTCTATAAATATTTCATTAAAATTAATAATATGAGAAGACAATGCATTACATCGTAGTAAAAATTTTTAAGTAGCAGTAGAGCTTGAGAAAGAGTTAATCCAGGGAAGTACGACCACCTCATCTACTTCTGCCGCCAAGCAGTAATGCGAGCATTATTCCGGTTTTGAAGGGTAAGGGTGTTAGTGAAATTACGGACACATGGGACTTATGTCTCAGGGTGACGGGCGCAGTGGCAGTGCCTATCATATCTTTGTGATCTGACTGGCACTGCGACTGTTACGGACAGGCATGTCACTTGCCACCAGGCACACAAATTGTTCATCCCGTCACTTGGTATCATAAAAAATATCGTTTGTATTATTGATGATATTATGGTTTGTAACTGTGAAGCAACTTAAGAGTCTATACTACTTCAAATGGCTTTGTCTGATTCTGCATAACAGTGTTGAACTTTGGAAAAAATATATAGTAAAATTGAGGATATATACACTGATTACTATACGGTGTGAAAACACGATTCCTAAAAATTTCCACGATAGAAAAAAAAAACACAAACGTTCATTGACTTACAAATAAATGGACGACGGGTCTAATACAAAAACCACGAAAAAAATGTCCCAAGTCAACCTATTCGAAATTTAAATTGTAATGTCATCGCAGTATCGCGCTGTCAGTCGAACAAATGAAGACTAAAGCGGAGTTTGGCGCTCTGTATACGATTTTAGCGCCTTACAAGTGCGGACACTTTTTAGCGCGGACCCGACGTCCATATAATTGTAAGTCAATGCAAACGTACCACAAAATTGTACAAGAAAACTGTTGTGTTCAATAGGTACTTTACATGATTTTTTTTATTGATTTTTTTATATCAACTGAACTAAATAGAACATGTATAGTATACGATACACATTTTTCAAATGGCTTTAATATAGTTTGTAAAAAAATAAATTCCGAAATAAAGTCCTGCCTGCCGCTCGATCCAAGCAAAATGAACCGCATTACGGGAAAAAATTGGATTCGAGCTGAGATAATATCGACTCTTAATGCCCAAGAAATGGATTTTGATTGCCTCAAGACTAAGGTGAAAAACTTCAAGTGCGATGATGCGGATAAAGCTACTGCGGAGTAAACACAAAAAGGGGAGCTTGTTTGTTAAACACTTTTACATAAAACAGTATTCCCTTACGTTTTCGCAATCGATAAAGGCACACTATACATTTATACCGACTCAAATATCTAAACAACAAACAAGAACGGTAGTAACATCACAAATCAATCTCGTACGGCAATGCATGCATCGCTTGCCAGCCATAAATAGATCGGCTGCGAGCGGGCAGGTAAACAATGCGATTAGCATGACACATCAAGCTCTGACCACTACGCCTGTCACTTGTCCGGCTCTGTTCATTGAGTTTGCGACAGTAAACACTTTTATCCAGTTCACCAACAGTCTTTGCAAACATAGCAAAAAAATCAAACCAACAGGCATTTTCAACAACGGCTGCCGGTAGCTGTAAAGATACTTGGCTGAGAGAAGAAAAACTTTCATAGATTTCTCACAGACGGCGCCACGGCAAGAAGTCGTTAAAAATCAAAAACAAAGATCTGCAATAAGCACATACAAAAATTCGTTGGGTGTGCTGGTTCGTTCCGTAGCGTAGTTGGGAGTGCGTCGCGGTAGTATGCTGAAGATGCTTGTTCAAATCCAGCAGCATCGTATGAATTTTTCTACGTTCGATCTTTTTATTAATAACTATAAGAAACTTGTGGAGTTTGCCAGGTGTGTCGACGACATAGTACGCGTCGCGCGGCGTCAAACATAGAACCATGGTAGATGGCACAAACTTCGAGAGGCCTATACCTAGCAGTGGGTGAAATCAGGCTGTGGATGATGAGTGGAGTAATTACAGGAAAAAATAATTGAATATCATTATAGTAAAACATTTTGATATTCTGTAAACTAAAACTCGTTATCTAAAATTATACTGGAAGGCAAATGGAAGCCAGAAGCGACGATTGAATAGCGGATACTTCTTCAGAAATAAATTGAGTAATAGCTTAATGGAAAGCCGAGGGAAAGCGAATGTAGGACTGAATAATATTTTCATTTATTTATACGCAATATGTCAGAGGAACCGCCCGTGAAAGACATTGAACGTTATATTAGGAAAGCTTCTTCAATATTACCGTTAATATTCCAAATATAGTTATAAAAATTACTAAAGTTTATTCGCATAAAATGCGTTTAAAAAACTTTTTGGTCCAATGACCGTTAAATCTAAGTGTCAACGACATACAATTTCTTTTTTGTTAAATACTTCTTTATTCCTTTGCAATTTATTTATTTTTGTTTCTTTTGTTTATTCACAATTGTTTTTCATTTTGGCATTTTCAGTACATTTTATATTTACAATACATTTTTTTATTTATAATTCAATATAAATCCTGCAGTCATTATATAACGCGGATTCTTACACTAAGACCTTACAGACATGTCCAATAACAGGACTATAATTATTAATACACAGATCTAACACAAAGAAAAATTCTCCACCATCTGACAGAAATCGAACCTGTGGCAGTTTTGCCAATCTAAAGCAGCAGAGAGTGATTTTATATCAAGAGAATTTTTCTTTTTGTTTGATCTTTATATTAATAATTATAACAAACTACAGGAGTAATTTAACAAAAATAAATAGCATAGTATAACAGGACGATATCTCTGACTACAGTGACAGACAAGGTATTAAATAGGCTACTTGGCGAACATTTGGATCAAGTAATCAACTTGCATGACACTCAGTTTGGATTTGGACCTAGATAGTCCACAGAGAGCGCGACTCTGAATTGAAAAAATAATGAAATTGAAATAAACAAGGCGTAATTTAAGCTGATAACATAGATTGTTTAATTGTAACATATTCTAAGCCCATCAAACATTCGTTTGGTGACTATTTTGGCCAAATTATAATCACTTATGCGAATGAAATAACGCCACTATCTATAGGCCTGCAGTCAACAACAACAGTGCTACTTGGATTTTCTTTCTTATAGCTGAGAGGAGCAAGGTGCGCCTCGATGCTGTACCGCCTGCGCGACAGCCCCAGCCGCATCCTGAGCGCGTTGTCCGCACACTGGGACTCGCCGATGCTCGCGCATTGGATGCAACTACATGCGGTCGCATAGAAAATAAATGTTGTCTTGTTTTTGTGTCGCTGTAAGGACATAAGGATGTATTGTACAATTAACTAACCCTTAGACCTAAGCATTTTGTAATTTACTAACAATTTATGGACCAGTTCCGATAATAAATGATATTATTATTATATTGTTATAAAGCAACCGGACAAACAAATTATGTACCTGGTGGTAAGCAATACACAGTTACAGTGCCACTCAGAGTTTTGACTATTAATACAAATTTTTATAACTTAAA